CTCCCCCCTCTCATGTGTTCTCTCTCATTCTCTCTCTCTCAAATAAATAAATAAAATCTTTAAAAAAATAAATAAATAAATTAAGCCAATATTATTATTTTGGATTATTAGCACTTACTATAGTAGAAATATTTGAAATAAAGAAAGATGTAGAGAAGAAATTAAAATCACCCATAAAAAACCACCCATATATCTATAACCCTTTATTCCAAATAACGTTAGTGTTTTATATTTTTTTCCAGTAACTTTCACATCCAAATTTATATACTTCCTATCGTGAAAGTACTTTAAAATAGCGTAAGGTGGTATTAAAAAATAATAATTTATAATTTCCTAGAGATGGTCCTTTGGGTGGTCCAAAGTATTCTCTCCATCCATTTCTGTGCCCAGTGGCCATCTGCTTTTCTTTATATCCTTGACAAAGGGGATAGAATTATCTTAGGGTGTGACAAAATTTGCAAGACCTAATTAACTTTTAAAAGTAAGTCCATGTTTGGCCGTTCCTTTGGGCTGGGGCTGGGGGAGAGGGAAGCTTTGGGGAGGTGGAGAGTAATGGGCAGTGTCACGAAATCAAATAAACAACCGTAACGTGTTGGGTGTTGCAACTCCAAAAAGGCTGGAAATGATTACAGCCTGAAGGCAGTGGTCCTGTGACACTGTGTGGTGAGGGCAACTCTTCTTGCAAACCAGTCCCAGGGACCCTGCCCCTTGTGTCCTGGGCCTCTTCATTCTACAGTCCTCTCAAAAGATCTCTCTTTTGAGTTAATGGCTTGTTTCAAATCCAACATCTAATTTAAAACTTTACATTTTAAGTCTTCCCACAACAATGCTATTTTGGGAACAACAGGATCGGAAGAGAAGCTTTGGTATCATCTATAGGATCTCCCTTATTTGCCCAGTTTGCTCAAGGTCAGCAATAGCTTGTCGACAGCCTAAGACTGGAACCCGGATTCTGTTATATCTTTCCATTTTGTCACACCAACCCTCCTATTTGCTCCTTGTTCTGGGTTAATTGTGTTCCCTCCCCAGTATCACAGAATGTGACTTTATTTGGAAGTAGGGTCATTGCTGGTGTAATTAGTTGCTGAAGTAGAGTGGGCCTCTATTCCAATACGACTTGTGTTCTTATTAAGAGGGAAATTTTGGACACGGATAGGTGCACAGGGAGAGTCACATGTTAAGATGCAGGCAGAGAGCAAGAGGATGCACCTGTAAGTCAAAGAATGCCAGAGATTGCCAGTAAACCACCATGAGCTGGGGAGAAGCATGAAACAGATTCTCCTTCCCAGCCCTGAGAGGGAACCAACCTGTGGACACCTTGATCTGGGACTTCTGGCCTCTGGAACTCTACATTTCTGTTGTTTAAGCAACCCAGTTTTTGGTACTTTGTACCACAGCCCTAGTAAACTAGTATGCTCCCCCTAGTATGACCTCGAGAAGTCATAGAATATGGGGAAATTAATGCTCTCCATAGTGCTTAGAGTCTCTTTGGTGATTCTGGCTTCCCTTTTCCTCACTTTGGAAAGTGGTAGTACTCAGGCAGAGGTAAAGTTTTCCAAGCATATGTCAATAGTTTGGATTATTAAAGTCATGAATATGCAGGTTAAGGTAAAATACGAAAATGTGTGATTAAAAAAAACTTGATGCGTAGAGTATACCATCAGATTATAGCTATGCAAATTTACCTGTATATTCAGGGGACTTTACGCAAATTGTACTTGTTTGTATGTGTATGTATATATACACATAGAGATTATATTTATGCTTATGTACAAAGAAAAAGATTAGGAATATAATAGACATCTATAAACTACTTCATCCAACCAATGTGGAGGGTGCACATTCCTCTCAGGCTCACATGGAACATTCACCAAGAGAGATTGATCTAAAATCACTTATCTAAGCTTCCACTCTAGAAAACTAGAAATGGAAGAACAAATCTAAAGTAAGCAGAAGAAAAGAAATCATAAAAATTAGAGCAGAAATCAATGAAATAGAGGCACCTGGGTGGCTCAATTGGTTACGCATCTGCCTTCAGCTTAGGTCATGGTTCCGGAGTCCTGAGATCGAGCCCCACATCGCGCTCCCTGCTCAGCGTGATCAGGAATTAAAGAGGGGATATCATTGCAGATTCCATGGATATTAAAAAGATAATAAAGGAATACTATGAGCAACTCTCTGGTCACAAATTTGATAACCTAGGTGAAATGGACCAATTCCTTGAAAGACACAATCTGCCAAGACTCACATAGTAAGAGATAGATGATCTGAATGGGCCTGTATCTCCTAAAGAAGCTGACTCAACAATATATAACCTTCCAAAACAGAAAGTACCAAGCCCAGATGGGCTTACTGGTGAATTCTACCAAATATTTAAGGAAGAAAAGTATATCAGTTCTCTTTAATCTCTCTCAAAAGATAGAACCAGAGGATATACTTCCTGACCCATTCTGTGAGTCCAGCATTACCCTAATACCAAAACCTGACAAACTACAGACCAATATTTCTCATGAACCCAGAGGTAAAAATTCTCAACAATATGTTAGCAAATTGAATACAACAATGTATAAAAAGAATTATACACCATGACCCAGTGGGATTTATCTCAGGTATGCAAGACTGGTTCAGCATTTGAAAATTAATTAATGTAGCCTATCTCATCAACAGATTAATGAAAAGCCACGTGATCATATCCATAGATGCAGAAAAACCATTTGATAAACTCCAGCACCCATTCATGATAAAAACTCTGGTAAACCTAGAATAGAGGGGAGTTTTCTCAACTTGATGAAGAGTATGTGTAAAACAATGTAAAGGTCATATCAGACTTAATGGTGAGAAACTCAAAACTTTCCCACAAGAGTAGGAATATCCCAACTAAACTGCTTCTGAATTCCTGACCCACAGAAACTGTGAGAGATGATAAATTTTTATTGTTGTTTTAAGCCTCTAAGTTTTGAGGCAATTTGTTTTGCATTAATAGATAACCAATCCAAATGGGGATATTACTTCACTCAGTAAGTGAAGCCTGAAGGAGAACTAGGTTTCAGGGGAGAATGTAATAGATATGGGGCCATCCAACTAGTTCTTACCAATAGATTTTAAGAGGAAATGATATGCGTCACTTCCAGTTTGATACCATTAAGAATGGTTCTGCCCTGGGAATGCAAGCTGGTGCAGCCACTGTAGAAAATAGTATGGAGGTTCCTCAAAAAGTTGAAAATAGAGATACTCTATGACCTAGCAATTGCACTACTGGGTATTTACCCCAAAGCTACAAATGTAGTGATCTGATTGGGCACCTGCACCCCAATGTTTATAGCAGCAATGTCCACAATAGCCAAACTATGGAAAGAGCCCAGATGTCTACCGACAGATGAATGGCTAAAGAAGATGTGGTGTATATATACAATGGAATATTATGCAGCCATCAAAAAATGAAATCTTGCCATTTGCAATGACATGGGTGGAACTAGAGGGTATTATGCTAAGTGAAATAAATCAGAGAAAGACAATTATCATATGATCTCACTGATACATGGAATTTAAGAAACAAGGCAGAGCATCATAGGGGAAGAGAGGAAAAAATGAAACAACATGAAACCAGAGAGGGAGACAAACCATAAGAGACTTAATCATAGGAAAGAAACTGAGGGTTGCTGGAGGGGAAGGGGGTAGGGGGATGGGGTAACTGGGTGATGGACATTGGGGAGGGTATATGTTGTAACCTATCTCATGAGCACTGAATATTATATAAGACTGATGAATCACAGACCTCTGCCCCTGAGACAAATAATACATTATATGTTAATTTAAAAAAAGAATGGTTCTGCCTTTTCTACATTCACTCCCTGTCTTCCCTACCTCCATTTCCCCCAAAGCAGGTTATCATTGAGGCTATGTGGTGAAAATGTCAGAACCACAAGATGGAAAGAGTCTGGATCCCTGAATCACTGCTGGAAAAAAGCTTCCTATGAGAAATCCCAACCATGAATGCCTGCTTTAAACTTTACGTGCTTGATAAATAAACATTAATTTCGTTAAGCCACTGAGACTGGAGATTGTTTAGAGCAGTTAGTGCTGATTGGTCTCACTAATAGGGACGTGTTAAGTTTAAGTTACCTCTCGGATATCAAATATGGAGGAGGCTGTTGTAGGTACCAGATGTTTGGAAAAAGTTGGAGAAATAGCTTGGGTATCATCAGAGGTCCCGAAACTTTCAGGAGGGAGTCTCCATTAACGATCATGTTACCAAAATGCACATGACATACACATTAATACACCTGATAAAGTAAGTTTTTTGTTTTTTTTTTTAAGATTTTTATCTTTAAGTAATCCCTACAACCAACATGGGGCTCAAACTCACAACTCTGAGATCAAGAGTCGCGGGCTCCACCGATTGAGCCACCCAGGTGCCCCTTTGCTGTGGTTTTTAAGAAACCTTGAGGTTAATTGTACCACCTACTAAGCATCCAAGTCCACAGCCACTCATGATAAAGATAAAGGTGACTGGCATGTTCTTGAAGTTCTTTCTGGTCGTTGATTAGTGGTTACAATAGCTCTGGGAGCCATACTACCTGGGTTTGAATCCCAGATCCACCACCTGATAGATCTGTAAACTTGAGCAAGATATTTAATCTCTCTGGACCTAGGTTTCCTTCAGTGAAGTGAAAATTTTTTCTCCATTGTAAGTAAGCATAATAACAGAACTGAACTTATAGGGTAGTTGTAAGAATTAAATGAGTTAATATATATGAAACACCTAGAATTCAGACTGACATAAGTTCTCTATAGGTTTGCTCGACTGGCTTGGTCCGTTGAGCGTCTGACTCTTGATTTTGGCTCAGGTCGTGAATCAGGATCGTGAGATGGAGCCTCGAGTCAGTGCAGAGCCTGCTTGGGGATTCCCTCTCTCCCTCTCCCTCTACCCCTCCCCCCACTCACGCTCTCTCAATCTTTAAAATAAATAAATCTTTAAAATAAGTCCTATGTGTTAGTTTATTTTATTTTCTCTTGTATACCTTTGCACCTGAATCCTCCTATATTGTGCACAAGAGCGGAAGCACAACCATGAAATTTTTTTTTTTTTAAAGAGAGGAAACAATCATTGATAGACATGACTTGAAGATGCATGGAGCAGAACAGTTGGAAGCTGAAGCTCTCCGGCTGTGCTGCAATTTTCTTCTGACCCTGCCGACCTCAGACCCCAGTCATTGTCCCCAGGTGAGAATTGTCACTCGGTGCCAACAAGCCAAAATATATGAGTTTGCCCAAATTGTCATTTTTATTATTATTATTTTAAAAAATATTTTATTTATTTATTAGAGAGAGACAGTGTGACAGAGATAGCGAGAGAACAGGAGCAGGAAGGAGAGGGAGAAGCAGGCTCCCCGCTGAGCAAGGAGTCCTTCTCCGGGCTCGATCCCAGGACCCTGGGATCATGACCTGAGCCGAAGGCAGACACTTAACGACTGAGCCACCCAGGCACCCCGTCATCTTTATTAGTTAGGATGTATATTTTGGTCTGATTTATTCGGCACTTTGTAAATTACATATGCTTTATGAGTTTTTTTTAAAAATTGAGATGTATGAATGTGCTCTTATTTTAACCCCTTCTTGGAAATAAGCATCTGCCTCTTGATTAAATTGAATTAAGTATTCCCTGTGCATGGACCTAGCACTGTATAAAACAAGTTAAACAGATATGGCCCCTGCCCTCAGAAATGCACGAACGTGAAAAGAGCTAGACATATATACACTTTCCCAGAGTCCACACTTTGGCACAAGCACAAGCCAGGAACACATTGATCAAATATTTGCAAGACACTTGAAGCATCGCAGTTAATAATTTTCATGTTAGGGCTCACTGACATCTAAGTGCGAACTTAATGGTAGTTAAAAAAATCAATAGAGCAGTGAAAATCTAACTTTTGTAAGCAAATTTATTGGTCACTTAGATTGGTCATATACAAAATCTCTTGAGAAACACTGATGTATGTTCTTGTGTGTGCTTGTTATTTTAATTATTTTTAAAGAAAGGAGACGGGTTCCTGGGAGACAGTTGGCATTCACATATCTTGCAGGGATGGATTATTGACCTGACATCAGGCAATATTCCATCACCATCTCTGCATGCACTCCCTTCGCCCTGGTGTGCAGGAAACTGCAGGATCAGTCTCTGGTCACATTTCTGTTCTTTTCTCACCGTCTGCATTCCTCGGCAGCCCCTCATTGTTCCCCACTCTGATTTACTGGGACTTGTCTCGCCTCGGCCACATGATTCTCATTTGGGCAGCCGGGGGTGGGGGAATGGATCCATTCTGTGGCACACGCAATAAGGTGCAACACTGAAGTCATTGAGCTGGACATTTCTCAATATTTGCTCTGGCAGAGAGATAGGGAACTAGAGCTGCTCTCGTGTTCTAGGGGACTGAAAATCAGTTTGTAAAGAGGGGAAGGAATCCAGCTAGCCTCAGGTCTGGAGGCCAGGAGGTTTGCAGGGCAGTGAGTCCAGGCTTCCTTTGCTCGTCTGCTTGGCAAACTGACTCCTCTTTCAGGTTTCCATGCAAGGGTCAACAAAACCTTCACTGCTCCTCTGGGAGCATCCTGAATCTTCTACAGGCTTCCAGGGTGGTGATCATCTGTCTACAAACCTCTTTATGTATCTCTCCCCAGTGCCTGTCACAGTGCTTGTCACATCAAGGGCACTCAGCAAATGTCAATAGAACAAAAGCCAACCAGAGCAGATGGGCTCTGCCTTCCTTTCGTCATTTGATAATTGGCCAGCAAACTGAATGGCCTAATTAACCAGGAGCTAAGGGGGTGGTCACAAAAGTTAATGATTTTTATTGCTTTATTGACTTTTTAACTGTCACTTAAGTGCCGTGAACACAGGGTAGGATGTTTTAGTGGCTATGAGGTAGTGTAGCCTGGTGGGTAAGAATACTAATACTAATGCTAAAGTTTTGACTTTGCCATTTAGTTGCTGTGTGACCTTTGGCGAGTTCCTTAACCTTTCTGTGCCTGGGTTCTGTGCCTTGTAATACTACCTGTCTCCTGTTGTGAGAATTAGAGGAGTTAACATTTGTAAAGTATTTAGAACTTGCAAAAGTGCCAAGAATAGAGAGGTGCTTGATCAGTATTTGTTAATGAATAAAATTTTTATTTTTTAATTTTCAGTTCATTGTTAAAGAAGATATTTAGGTAATCTTTTTTTCTTTTTAAAGATTTTATTTATTTATTTATTCATGAGGGAGAGAGGCAGAGGGAGAAGCAGGCTCCCAAGGAGCAGGGAGCCCGATGCGGGACTTGATCCCAGGACTCTGGGATCACGACCTGAGCCAAAGGCAGATGCTTAACCATCTGAGACACCCAGGTGCCCCTAGATAATCTTTTTTTCTTTCAGTTGCTTAATTTTATGTTCTGGGTAGGCTAGGTATTGAAAAGTACTACTGTCTGGTTTTTGCTTATTTATGATAAATTCCCTTTCTGATAAAATATCCAACACAATCAGAAGAGTTAATAAAAATAAAGAGCTTGGAATGGTGCCTGACACAGTGCTCAGTAAATATTAGCTGGTATTATATTATTATTCATTTGTTCATTTAACAAATATTTTTTGAGCACTGTATGCTATACACCAGGATACGTTGAGTGGGAAACAGACAAAAATCCTGCTGTCATGGAATCATCATTCTAATGAAGCAAATAGACAATAAATAGAACCTGTAAAATGCATACCATGTTTTATAGATTTTAAGACACACAATTTTTCATGTGTTAATATCTCAGAAATTGAGATACATCTTACAACTGATAGCATTTTGCAATTGTAATTGCTAGCGTTTTTTTCTTTTGTATATAAAACGATGATACACATTTCAATCGATGGAACCTCAGATGTGATGTAATGTGAGAGCATGTTAGATAGAATCAGTGATAAGGAAAAAATTAAGCAGGGAGGATCACAGAGAACTTGGGAAGGTCTGCAACTTGCATATGGTATAAGTTTGCAATTTAAATATACCCCTGTATCTTTACACTCATATTTTAGAAGTCAAAAGCCGTATTATTTAATAAAATCATCATTTAAAATATTATTAGTGGTAGATACAATGTAGTATCCTGGATAGGCTCTTTGAACAGAAATAAGATGTTAGTGGAGAAAGTGGTGAAGTATGAATGAAATCTGTAGTCTAGGTAGGTACCGAACCAATATTAATATCTTAGTCTCTATAATTATACTGTGGTTATATATATATTTTTTAAAGATTTTATTTATTTATTTGAGAGAGAGAGAATGAGAAAG